TCTGCAGTTAGGATCGCGTCACTCCGCTCAAGTTGATCAGCGATTCACAGTAAATTTCCCCCCGAATATGGAATAATTGAATAGGATGAGCAGGGAAATGATTACAACTAACTGCCTCATTTTATCTTTGGATCACGAACCTATTCCCTTCGGAAGGCGATTCACAGTGACTTCTGACAAATATTTAATAGTAGTGTATGATGTTCCCATCATACACTACTATATCATACACTAGTCACGTGACTGTTGATTACCTCTGCCTGGTCCGCGGTGTATCACTTGCCCGGTTTTTACACCAACCGCCTGAACTGATGGGGTTGTGACAGTCGTGAGTGACGCGGCAATTACGTCACTCTCATGAGGGGGAGACTGAGTTCGAGTTCAGGACTTGACACCTCGTGGAGAGTTTCGTGTTTCAAACTCTCTGTTAGTTATCTTAGGTTTTCGGCCCTTTAGTAACGCCTACAAGGTGTCAGTGGAATTTGCTGCATTTGGAATCATCTCAGTAACTAAAAAAAAAAGATGTTTTATATTACCTTCGATTTCTTCTCTGGTCTTCAATTCACTAGGAACATAATATTTCTTACGAAGATTCTGAAACAAAAATCATTTTAAATAAACGTAATTAAAATGTAGCCGGACACTTGTTGTCGAGGTTACAAGACTCCCCTTCTCACTCCAATACGACAGCTGTACATCAAAAGGCCTTTCAGGCAGCGTGGTCGAGTGGTTAGGGCGCCGGACTTGAAATCCGGACTTCGCGAGTTCAAGTTCCGCTCTGACCACTAAGCTGGAGTTGTTTCTCGGTTGACCCTAGTTCAACTCCTCGGCCACGCTTGTAAATAGCTAACTGGTCTGCCTCCCGCCAGTTGAGATTTTTAGCCACGTTATGTTCATTTGCATTATTTGTTTCATCGTTTGTTTCCATTGGCTCTGAAAAGCCCCATTGGGGGAGTGGTCAATAAAGATTTTTTTTCTTTCAGGTCGATTTAAAACCGGCAAAATAAGACAATTGTCGGTGTAAATTAAATTTTCATGTTTTTCAACCTTTATGAACTCTGTCATTCAGCTTTGTATTGTACGATTTAGAACAGATCCGCCAAAAAATGTCTTCGAAAATCAAAACTGTTGTCGCTTTTCTTAAACTTAGTACAACTCATTAACCTGCTGCTGTGTATTAATTACCTTTTTGAAACCCTAGCTCTTCCTTATAACATCTATCAATACATGTATATCTGTTGTTGGTGGTGGTCCTTTGTTGCCTTTTTTGCCACAAGAAGATAACGCCGTAGTTTCAGTTCCTCACGTATACTGGAGTCTCGACATACACTCTAGTCCAACCCAACGGGGTCCACTTAGGGAGTATCAGTCACACTCATGGTCAACTTTAGCTTCAACATTCATTCACCCTGAGCGTGTTCACGCTTTATCGAGTATACAATATGATGAAACTTCAGCAGCCCTGACAAAGAGTGGCCAGAAACGACGATTGGAAAAGATATTAAGTTCAGAGCGATTTTTAACTTGGTGCTTGTCGTAAGCACAATAATGGTTTTCATGCTTTAATGTTATCTTTCCCACCTTTCTTACGTTTGTCACTTTTTTCCTTTATATATTATAACGTCATCGTTGTACCTACCCAAAATCTGAACCTGCTCTGCCACTCGATGGCTGCCACCGCTTGCATTCTTAGCGCAGTGAAACAATTTAACGAGTCTTCCTGGACCAGCTCGTAAGTCAGCGAGAGTTGAGCGATCAGGATGTTCAACAAAATTATTGTTACACTCATCATGAATAAGACGGTCAGCAGTGGTCCTAACCATCTACAATAGATGAGAAACAGTATTGTGAATGAGCTGTTCTTGCAATAGAGGGAAGAAGAAAGAGCATAAAAGGAAGAGAGACTTGTCATTTTTTTTGTTACACTGCGATCAGGCGAAAAAAAAAAACGCCTGATCGCAGGTCATTTCATTTTTCGTTCCTCTTCCCCTGTCTAATCCTGTTACATTCTTTAACAAAGCAAAAGCAAAATAAACACAGTAATGTCAAAAATGAATAAACAAACAAATATATTATTGTTATTATTATAGGTGCATCGCCGAGATGCACAAATGACCAGGAAACAATAAAGGGGTGACATAACAACACACAGCTGATCGGTGTATGTGATTACTAAACAATACCCTTTGTGTTAAGACCATTATATTTCAGATTGAGAAGCAAATAAAATGGCCAATTCGTGAGAAAGAGAAAATGAATTGACAAATTGGTAACTTGATGGACTTACCCAACTTCTGTCAAGTTGCCAGCAACGGACGACCCTTCGAGCCAGGTCATTACCCCAGCCAACACTACACATGCTATACTAGACGTAGAAGAGATCCCATCTCTGAACGTGCTAAAAAAACAGCAAAGAAATTATGAATCTTTATTTTTGATTGTCAATTACTCTATGTAGCAAATAATAAAGAATCCAATCTCAATCTTCTATTGACTTCTTTTTCCAGCTTTTTAAATTAGCTATTGATCTTAGTAGTTCGTACAATGAGAGCATATGCATATGGAAGGGGGTAGCTCCGGGTTCAACCATTAACTATGTTTCAGTTGATTTCAGTGAGATTTTATTTGCTTTATCGAGGCCCTCAATGTTCTCACCACGTGATATGTTCTCGTCCGATAAACAACAACATTTCAGCTGGGGGTATAACAAGCTGAATTCACACTTACTTGTTGCCAAGTATTCTTTCTCTTAACTGGTCTTTTTTCTCCGCTCTTATAGCCATGTAGAACGAAGTTGAAAAGGTCACCAAAATGATGCAAAACACGACAAGGAATCTTGGAATGTCTTTGTAAATGACGTTCGCAAGGCATTTCATGTACCAGCCAATGTTTCTGAAAATAAGCCAAAGAGTTCAATAAACAGTATAACTGTATAAAACTCGAAGCAAGGTTCTTCATCGTGTAATACTGGGTTTTATGAAGTTTTACCTAGGTCTGGAACACTATTAGAACGCATCTACTTGAAAACATGTTTGAAAACCTGATAAAACGATCTGCAGTCAGTAGGAATTGTCATGTACTATATCGTAGCCATACCACCAAAACTCTTAGTATAACTCTACTAGCGTTCTATCACAAATGCCGTTCTCTGATTGGCTACGCCACTCACTATCTGTTCTGTATTAGTATAAATCTACTAGCGTTCTATCACGAATACCGATCACTGGTCAGTGACTACGCTACTCACTATCTACTCTGTGATAGGTAGTGAGTGGCGTAGCAGTGTGCCCTTGTTAACAAAATGACGGCCGTTTCTTGGCATTTTTGAAGCGCCTGTGAAGAGGATTTATATAAAGTTTTGAACGACTAGTAGATTTATACTAAAACAAGATTATTCGCTCTCGATTTCTATGAGTGATAGAAAATCTCGAGCTCACAATCTAATTGTTAAGGAGGTAGTGAGTAGCTTAACAAAATGGCGGCCGCTTCTTTGCGTTTTCGAAGTGTCTGTGAAGAGCATTTCGATAAAGTGTAAAACGATTGGTAGATTTATACTAAAACAATTAGATTATTCGTTACGCGTGATAACTGACTCGGACTGCGCCCTCGTTGCCTATCACGGGAAGGAAACCTCAGGCTCATTGTAAAATTGTTAAATAGATTACTTCACTCCTCAAGCAGTGCGTGAAGTAGCGCGGTGTATCAGGAGCTGGATGTTGAAGTCGCTTCTTTTCTGCTCATTCCCATACTTGTTGTACTATATTGCTTGTAAGTACCCCTCCCTCAGAGATGTACCCTGTCCCATTCAGAAGCTAAGCCCACCCAATATGTCCGTTACGAAACATTACCGTTTAGAATCTTAATTTTGGCGTGTCTAAACGTCAAACGCCGTTAGCAGGGGGAATTGATTTAAAGATACATCTCTCACTTACCGATCAACCGCTGAGTATTTAAAGATGTCGATAAAATTTATCAAGATTGCCAAAGAATCACAAGTCCACTGCGTATCACTTCCAATAAATCTAAACCGATAGGTCACCAGAACTAGAAAGTATCCTGACAGATCCAAGTAGTTCAAGACATCTTTGATGTAGTCGAGTGGTTCTCTAAAAAGTTGGGAAGGAGTGAAAGGTGAGATAAAAACACTCACTGAATCCGACGTAAACAACTCCATATATAGTCGAACCTCTTATCAGCGGCCACCCTAGGGGAAATAGGAGATGGCCGCTTAACAGGGGGTAGGGGTTGGCCACTTAATAGGGTTCGTCAGCAATTAGGTTGAAACTTGAAGAATACTTGAAGGCTTTTGACTACTGTTCCACATAATAGAGCCACCTTAAAGTAAAGCTCTACAGCTACCTATCTAATTTGTTCAAATCTGATTTACAAATTTTGGTCTGTCTGTCCGTCTGTCCGTCCGTTCGTCTGTTCGTCTGTGAGACACAGAACAAAATGGTATAGTATTCCTTAAATTTGGATGCAAGTTTTTGCGGGATTGGTATAGCCATCGACTGATCAAATGGGTGTACAGTTTGTCAGCAAATATGGTTTCTTTACAAACTATCTAACAGAATAGTATTTTCCTGAGTTTGACAGCACCCAAGTCAGGGTTGTTTTGTGGTACTTTGGAGGGTGTCAACTATGATTTAGAGGAGAGTAACTCTATCTGTAGGTTGTAACGAAAAGCGCGCACACGCCGAATTCAAATCGCTTTTGCTATTGATACCAATTTCTGTACTCGAGTTCTGAAGCCGTTTAGTAAGCAGTACCTTTTAAAATCGAAGAATTCTTCAAACAGAAACCATAATGTCATAACTAGAACCCAGACTTCAAGAAATGTAAAGAAACTTGACTGTGTCCGGACAGTCCGGTGATCAGCTTGGTTTACAGACGTCGCTGCTAATATACAATCAGCAGAGAGAACACCCAGGAAAATCAAGTAATTCACACCTCGGACCCTGTAAATCTAACAATAAGTACACTTATTAACTCATAAATTAAGTAGCTCATGAACTTGAGAGTTGCCAAGTTCATGACCTTACTGACCAGATTCAGAGTACTATTTAGACCTTTGACTTCGATTGATTTCACAGCACTAAACTCTTCCAAACTCATTAATAGTTCATGAAGTTTAAACAAAGGAAATCATGACCGTCATGGTGCTTGGATATCTGATCTTAATTAGCATTTTTACTTTTTAATATTCGTTTTTCTCCTTAGTTAAGTTTCCATTGAGAGGAAAAATAAAAAACTCAAGACAGTGTTTGACCACATTTCCAAACGCCTCTAAGTTTGTGAAAAATACTCCACTACGCGTCGCAGTCTCAACTTTCTTCTCGGTGTTTTGCAATGTGGTAAAAAAACGGTCTTTCGTGTTGATATATTGCCTAAAAGAGCTACCAGAGATTTAGATAATATTACACACTAAGCCCACTGTTGTTGTTCAGTTAGTTTTGACTAATTAACATACCACGTTTTTTCAAGCCATAGAGATATCATGATTTCATCAGGTTATAACCATGGCTTCTTAACGTTGAAAGAAAGTCTAAGACAATTTTTTTTTCAATTAGCTTGGTCATATGGCTAGATATAGGCCAGGGATACTTTAAAAGGCAAACAAATTTTGAGAAGTCTGTTTTTCTCCTCGTCATGCATTGTCTTTATATGGTCTTAAAGTTTTGAAAGTAACAACTCTCGTTACTTTCGAATTTAGAGGCCTCTTCCTTTTGCTACTTTCAAAGGGTCGAAAGTAGTTTCATTTTTAATACTTTCGTGTAACTAAAAATGGTACCATTCGTAGGCTTAACTGTCTTTAAAATAAATATGTTCTCAATATATATAAAGAGAAGAAAGGGATAAATCTTTTTTAAGGAATTTATAATTCGACAATTACAGAGTAATATATCAACAATCAAATACATGTACTGGACTTGCTATTAACCTTCTGTTCACATGCAAAAGGGTTTGAGAGAAAAACTACAGGAACGAAAAAAACTAAAAAAATAAAACAAGAACAGCATTCTTACCTTAACCAGAAGGAAGCGTATTTTTCCCATTTTCTTTCTGTCAATAACCT